TAAAATTAAAATAAATAATCAATAACTATTTATAATTAACCATTTAATTACTAATTATCTATTTGCTTAGCCAACAGCCCTACTTTTTGTAATTTTAAGAATGCGTGCCACGCCAGGTCAAAGTAGTCAAAGAGAACCAGAGCCTTAGCGACCTGTATCCTCATTTTCTTGACATGTGTATCGCACTCACTTGGTTTCCGCCAGCTGTTTCGTTTCATGGTTTTTTTTTATTAATCTATGTCTCAGATAATTATATTAAATTTTAATTAATTTAAAATTAAATTATATCAAATTTTATTAGATAAATTTTTTTTAAATATTTATTTTTTTATTTATAAAATTAAAATCTAAAACTTTATTTAAAGAGATCGCACCTAACTTTTAAGATCTAATGACATTAGTTACCGGTGCATCCTTCTTTTCCCGACAGGGTTCAAACCCGCTCCTGGTAAAATATGTTGAAAAAGAAAAAAATTTAAAGAGATCCGAACTTTTTTTACTTCGACCAAAAAGATCGTTAGTGTCCGATGGGCGCCTTTTCCCCGCTGGTTTCATTAAGTAAATATTAATAACAAGGCGCGGACCGAATATCATGTGCGTTTCACATGCTCCTGTCCGTCAGACACGCTATGTTAGATTCTAGATTTAAGACAAGGCCCACGCGCCTCTGCCTTGTTCGTGCTTTTTTTTTTTGAACAATTATAATTTTAAAAAAAGAATTTGTTTTGTTCAAACATGTATTAAAATGTAATAAATATATTTTTTTATAATTAATTTATATAAAAATAAAAAAATTAATTTTATTTTAAAATTATTATTATATAAATAATTTTAATTAATTAAATTTAAATTAATTTTTATTGTTTTTTATATATATTAATTATAAAAAATATATTTATTATACTTTTATTTTATTTTGTATTCTAAGAACATAGAATTGAAAATCCTTTTAAGAAATGAGAGGAAAATTGAAGCTAAAAATCCTTAAATTTTGACTAGATAAATGGCAAGTAATACTATTTCCCCCACCTAAAGGGCAGGTCCCGTTGTTCGTGCGTTTTCTATTCAACTCTTTTGTCCAATTTTGATCATTGTAAGCATTTAACTCTATTTTCAACTATGAAGCCTTTTTCTTATTAAAAAATTAAGTGCCTACCAAAAATATCTATATCATTATGAATTTTTTATTGGTAATTATTTCACCTTCATCTTTATTTCCATTTTTAATTTTTTACTTATAATTTTTTTTTACTTACTTCAATTAAAGTTTTATTTAGTTACATTCATAACTCTATTTAAGTGTTATTTATAATTTCATTTAGTTATATTTAATGATTAATTAATTTCACTCCATATTTCTTTTAGTGTATATATAAATTTATAAGTTAGTATAATTAGACATGGTAAAATAAGAAAAAAATTTATTACAAAAGGGTTTGCTATTTCTCTATATTCTTCATTTATTTTATAATATACACAAAATATCATTAAAAATTTAAAAGAAAACCATTAAAACACAAAAAGATGTAAAAGTCTCTCAACTCCATGTAAAAGTAGTCATTATACTTAAAAAGTTTTGCTCAACAATTCCATTGTAACGTTGTTTATTGTAAAATTTTGTAGCAAAAGATTGTATCAATGTAGAAGAGTTAGAAGAGTATTAGATTTAAAATATTTAATATGCATAGAAGTTAATGATATTTTTAGTTCAAGAATAAACATTAAGGTTTTATAATTTTGAGGTTGTGAGTTTGAGTTTTTATAAATTTAATTTTTTAAAAGTTTTTCTTAATATTATATATTGTGCTTAAATAATAATATCTAAATTATATACATTTATATACTGCCTTGTGAGAAACATTTTAAATGATAATTATTTCATTTATTTTTAATAAACTTAATTTGATATTTTGATTTTTTAATATGAATTGTAAATAAAAATTTAACATATTATGTAAATGATAATCAAAATTTTGTTAATAAAATAAAAATATTCAACAATAATTACATATATAAATTTTTTTTTTATTTTATAAATTATTAAATATTTATCTAAAATTTATATTAAAAATTAAATTAAAATTATTAAAAATAATCAAAAAGAGTATATAAAATTTTTGATGGTTAAATGCTATATAAATTAATCAGAAATTAAGGTGGGGTGTGTATATTTTTGGAGTGTTGTAGATTACTAAAAAAATTGTGTTAACCTCTCCATTTTTTTTTCTTCATAGTAAGGAATTTTAAAAAGGGAAAACTTGAATATAAAACTTAAATTTTGAGTTTTCGAACATTTTTCTCGCATTTAAGGTGGCAAATAGACCACTACGCACGCGACAACCTCTCCATTTTTCATTTTAACGAGCCGAGTATAAACCTGTGCGTAATGGGTGACGATGAGTCCAAACGCGAGTGGGGGGCGCGTAAATGTCAGCGTTTACCACGCACACCCTGCGAAGAACACTAAGAAACAGAAAGAAGGTGCGCGGAATGTTGTCGAACTTTAAACCGAACGTGTGCAGTGGTCGGCGGCGTCAGTCGTCATAACGGCGTCAGTCGTCATAACGGCGTCAGTCGTCATAACGCCGTCACTTCCGCTCGCCAAAACTCGCGGTGTACAAAATCGACCAGGCCCGCGCCTTCCAGAATCCGTCTTTTATCGTTACCGTTGCACAACGTACAATTCCCTCGTCAAAGACTTCTTCTCCTCTCCCTCCCTTTGTTCCTTCCTCTATCTATAAATAGATGGCAGCGTCACTTCCTTGAATTTGGATTTCGGAGTCTGAGGAACAAAGGGAAATTGGTTCAACAAAGAAGCCAAGTCTGACTTAGAAAGTCCTAGTCTAAATAGAAGACTAAGGGAAAAGCTCTGAAGTTTTTGGGTCTTGGGGTTTCAGTTTTGATTGCCAAGAAGGTTGAGAGTTTTCCAGGTACTTACAGTAGCTAAAGCTCTTTCCTTTCTTATGATTCTGGTTTAAATTCATATGGGTTTGCTATATTTTGCTGTCTTGGTGATGGATTTGGATAGAGTTTTTGGATTTGGGTGTTGGCTATAATTTGGTGTCTTGGTGATGGGTTTATGCTTCTATCCATTCTAGAGTTTGTGTCATGTTAATTACTTTGGTGTGTTCTGAAGAAGGAAATCAAATTACTGATGTCTCATATTTCTTTAGGGTATTAGGGTTTGGGAAGTGATTTTCCTTCTCTTCCCCCAAATTTCCTGCACATCTCCATTGAAGGTATCTCTTTTTGTGGAAGCTGGTTGGTTTTACCAATCAAAGATTATAATATGTATTATATATTCCTTTTATAAATAAAAAAAAACCCTGCTCTGTGTTCCTTCATTTTCTTTGCTACAAAAAGAAAATTGTTAATAGTTTGAACCTTTTTTTATTATTATTTGAGGGTAGTCAATCTTCTAGTTTTAGGAGGGTCACTATGATATCTGTTGATTTTTGGAGATCTATAGTGGATCTCTCTCTCTCTTTTTTTTTTTTTTGTTTTTTTGGGTGGGAGGTCTAGATTGTCTACAGAGAATTTACGTATTAAGTTTTGTTGGTTTGATTCTTTCCCCGGACTAGAATATGCAGATTAATAATGGAACTATACTGTACACCATTGCTTTGACTCTTCAATTTGGATTTTTCTTCTGTCTCTATCTTTCCAATACGTCTGTTAACTAGAAATTTCAAAACATGAATATGGTGAACTTAATTATTTTTACATTGTTTTTGCAGGCTGATTTATTTTCTGAAGATATACAACTTCTGTTTTAGCACAATTTGGTTGGGAAAAAAAACGTCTGGTAATCTTTTCTTTCCTGCTGATAAAGATTCTGAGATCTCTTATCACAGTGAAGAGCTGATGAAAAGCTTGTAGTATGGACTCGCACCAGCTTTTTGGATGCGGTGTCACTGGTGCAGGCCTATCCTACTCAACTTCTTATTCCTCTGTTCCTTCTATACCTAATAGGTTGTTTGGTTCAATAAAACCTGATATAGGAAAGTCTCCCAACTCACCTCTTTCAACTCAGTTTGATTGTGATACAGTCACTTCTTCATTGAGTGACAGCCAGGAGCAGCACAGCACCACAGAGAATCCATCAGGGATCAGCTCTTCTAGCAACTCTGCACTTGAATCTAACAGTTATTTCCATCAATTGGGTTCCTCTGTGGACAGTTGGCGTGACAGTCTACCAATCCGTCCTATTGGAACTTTGTTTTCACAGGATGCAATTTCTAGCCAGAACATAAAGTACGCTTTGCAGGAATTAGAGATTGCACTTATGGCACCTGATGATGAGGAAGAAGTGACCACTCCAAATATGTCATATGGGGAAATTGGCAGGCCACAGACCACAGGTCAGAGATCTAGGGCGTGGAGTCAGGAACGCCAAGGATCACAAGTGGTTCGGCCCCAACCATCCACATCCACTGTTTATAGGTTTGGGCAGTCAAGTGAAGTTGCTCATATTGAGAAACGTCAGAAAGCATTGGAGGAATTGTCTCTGCTGTCTATTTCTCCAGGCAATCTGAAGCATTTATTGATTGCCTGTGCAAAAGCTATCTCCGAAAACAATATGGTTGAATTTGATAGGTTGATTGAGATAGCTAGAGGTGCTGTGTCCATCACAGGGGAACCAATCCAGCGACTTGGTGCTTACATGGTAGAAGGGTTGATAGCTAGAAAGGAGGCATCTGGGTCAAACATATATCATGCCCTTAGGTGTAGAGAGCCTGAAGGCAAGGACTTGCTTTCATACATGCATCTTCTGTATGAGATCTGCCCCTACTTGAAGTTTGGCTACATGGCAGCCAATGGTGCCATTGCTGATGCCTGCAAATCTGAGAATCACATCCACATTATTGATTATCATATTGGTCAGGGAACACAGTGGTTAACCCTCTTGCAAGCACTTGCAGCCAGACCAGGCGGGGCTCCTCATGTCCGCATTACAGGAATTGACGATCCTGTTTCTAAATATGCTCGTGGTGACGGATTGTGTGCAGTTGGAAGGCGTTTGGCAGCACTTTCTGAAAAGTTCAGTATCACGGTGGAGTTTCATGGACTGCCTGTTTTCGCGCCAGATGTCACAATGGACATGCTTGATGTTAGGCCTGGAGAGGCACTGGTTGTGAACTTCCCTCTGGAGCTTCATCACACCCCTGATGAGAGTGTTGACGTAAACAATCCCAGGGATGGGCTTCTTAGAATGATCAAATCACTCTCTCCTAAAGTTGTAACTCTGGTAGAGCAAGAATCAAACACTAACACAGCTCCTTTCCTCCCAAGGTTCATAGAAGCTTTGGATTACTACTTGGCAATGTTTGAGTCCATGGACGGGACCCTACCAAGGGACAGTAAGGAGAGAATTAACGTTGAAGAGCACTGCTTGGCAAGGGATATTGTGAATGTCATTGCTTGTGAGGGCAAGGAGAGGGTGGAGCGCCATGAACTCTTGGGTAAGTGGAAGTCTCGGTTTACAATGGCAGGGTTCAGACAATACCCATTAAGCTCGTATGTCAATTCTGTGATACGGACCCTGCTAAAGTCATACTCAGATCATTATACACTGGTGGAGAAGGATGGTGCAATGTTGCTGGGCTGGAAGGATAGGAACCTCATATCAGCTTCTGCTTGGCACTGAGACAGAGGGTAAGAAACGCACACACATATACAAGTAGTTGCAGGACTTACTATTTTGTTGTATTCTTTTCCGTAGGTTTGATCCTCATTTCTTTGTATACCATTTCCTTTGATGCAGTTACTGTCAATCCTTTCTATGAAATCTCAGGGAGTGCATTCTGTTCTATTTTATGATTCATCATTCATGTATGTAGCATTACAAATCAGCATCCTCAGCTGTATTCATAATAGAGTTATCTGATACAATATATAAATGACCAGCTATTTCCGTATTCATATTCTTTTGTTCTTCATCTGTTTAAGGTGTTGATCAAACAGATGAACTTCCACACTCATCCTCTGTTTGAACCGATTTATATTCTTAGATGAACGATAAATATCTGTCATGGTATGGTATTGGTATGTGCTTTTTCTAAGCTGAACAACATTGTCCCACGATCTTCTACGAAAATAGAGGTTGGATTGCTGAATTGTGTGACTAGAAGAAATTATGGCCAATGAAAAGATGATTGGAAAGCAAGAGTGGTCATTATGGCTGATTCACAATTCGCTTTTGACTTTTGGCAGAAGTTTCTATGGTCATTATCGAAATGAGAAATTTTGTTCCTTGATGTTTACATGAAATTGCTTCATAGATCTACAAATAAATCTATATATTGTGGCATGCTGCATAGAGTCTAAGGTAGTTCAATTCTTCAATATCCTGCCAGTACCTTAACCCACATTAACAGCCTAAAAATGTCTATTCAAGTTTTAATATTGCCATTCATCTATATAATTTAATGGTAATTTTATTTTAGTAAAAATAAAAATTTTGTAATTCGAGTAGCAT